TCCCTTCTCAACAGCAGTGACTGTCATGCCCAGGACATCAGCATTGAGTTGTTTTTGCACTTGTGGGGGTGACTTCCTATTGTCCCACCAGAATCAGCAAGGTAAGTTGGGAGAAGTCCTTTGTCAGCCGGACAGGAAGCAGTAAGTGAAGGCTGGGCTCCATGGAGTAGAACAATTCTAGGAGCTGGCGTGGTCACAGAAGGACAGAGAACGCAGAGGTCAGGAAGAAGCGTGAGTCAGGCTGGTGGCCATCCGGGGTCTTCTCACATTAGCTGCCGGAGAGCCAGGGTTGAAGGCTGAGTCATAGGCTGGCCAGCACTGTAAATGCCAGGCACCAACAGAACTTCCTGAAGCTGGGAGCTTCCTGGGGTCTTGATGATCAGGACCTTATGGGTTGTGTATTTCAGGTATCTGCTCTGACAAGGCAGTGGTGTTGTGGTAGATATGCTTTTGCTGGAGGCATTTGCCAGGTGAGTGGGCAGGATGTGATTTGTATTAGGCGTAGTAGTCAACCCAGCAGTGCTTTTCTGCTGCAGTCAAGGGCAGACTGCAAGACCTGTTAAGGGCAGGGGATTCCAACATAGAATCTTAAGAAGTTTCTTACTTTGAGCCTATCCTCCATGTTTTTCATGTCCACAGGAATAAAAATACATTGACATATGGAGTCAGTTCTCAGCTTTCTTATCATAGGATTTGTTTAATTGTGTACCAGGATGTAATGAGCTTGAGGTGTGTGAATGAGAAATGGAGATGAAGTGTTTTATTAATTTAGAAAAGGGAGAAAAAGGAACTCTGCGTGTAGCACAAAGCTTTCAGCTCTGAAACTCCACCTTTTGGCCACACTAGCAGCAGAGAAATTACAGAAAGCGAATTGTGTTGTCTGTTGGGCAAGTAAAGCAAGAAGCAGCAAGCTAGAAGGTGAGTCTCCTAGATTGCTGTCACTTTCTGTAACACGAAAGTTCCAAAAATAAGAAATAAGGAGCCCCTGGGCAGTTGCTTTTTGGAATTTGTGTGGACAGATCCAGGTCATCCTTGTTCTTTGTGCTTTTTTTTTTTCCCCTGAGATGGTGTCTTGCTCTGTCACCCAGGCTAGAATGCAGTGGTGTGATCTCGGCTCACTGCAACCTCTGCCTCCCGGGTTCAAGCGATTCAGGAGAATCCTGCCTCAGCCTCCCAAGTAGCTGGGATTACAGGTGCCCACCGCCACACCCAGCTGATTTTTGTATTCTTAGTAGAGAAGGGGTTTCACTATCTTAGCCAGGCTGGTCTCGAACTCCTGACCTCGTGATCCACCCATTTTGGCCTCCCAAAGTGCTAGGATTACAGACATGAGCCACCATGCCGGGCCCTTTGTGCTTTTTATGAAGTGAGTCTTTCTGATTAGTGAGCCAGAATTTTCATCTGATAGATGAAAATCTGATGATTTAAAAACACAATTGGTTATAAAAATTTTAAATTTATAATTTCCTGTAAAGTAGGAAATGAAAATTGCCCTTTTTCTCCCAATTTCTCTTCCAGAGGTTTATATTTACCATGTACTAAAGATTATTCCTTCTCTATATGTCTATGAAAACTCCGACTTCTGTACTTCTTTTTCTGTGTGTCGTTAATGTGATTTGCTTTACTTAATTGTATGTCTAGTATGGCTCTTGAGAGAGAGGGAACTTTGTCAGAATGTGTGTCATTTTAACCCACTTCTGGTTGTTGTTGGAAACACAGTTAAGTTGCTTACTGGTCTCGCTGCTCCTTTGCTTTATTAAAAAATTCAATCCATTTTGTCTTTAGGTAACACTACATGTCTTTCAGTCTTCTGAGATTTCATGTTTTCACTTATCCACGCATTGCTCATCTTACATAGCAGTTTCTATGCCTGGTCTATTATTACTCTTAACTAAGATAACCTGTTGAAGTATAATTGAATTCAACTCTATTATAAAATGATTAAACTGTAGGCGGGATGTGCTTTCTTCCTTTCTCACACAGCCTCCCTTCCGCTCTGGAAATGGAAGGCTTGACGTCCCATCATTTAACGGGTCTGATGACTTTCCAGTATTCCAATCAGTAATATTGAGACTAGGGCTTCTTGTTCCCTCCATCCTGAAGTTTTGGCATAATGATTTGCATTAATCTGACTAGCGAACTTTTTAATTCATTTTTACCCTATGCCAGGTACATGTAACCTCCTCAGCCCCAGAATTACTTTAGGAGGTGTAGGTGCTGTTACTTAAAATCCAAAGGAACGAAGGGAGGCATAAGTAAATAGAGATAAGTAATTTATAAAGTAAGTATCTGTGAAGTCAGTATGAGTATAAAATGACTATTAAGCAGTTTGCCCACAGCTGCTAAGAGCTATTGAGTGACAGGGCGCAGAGGCATCCGTTGACCTCAGAGCCCTGGCTTTTAATCTCTGCTCTGCTGCTGCCTGGACCTTTTACTCTTGTTCTTTCACTCAGCTCATACCAGTGAGCACTCACCATACCAGGCATGGTTCTGGGTGCTGAGAAGACAGAGGCAAACAGAAATGACAATGAAAAAAGAGTTAAACAAATAAACATATACCAGAGGAGGTGATGGCTATCAATAAAATACTAGGTAAGAGAGAGAGAAGGAATGCTTTCTGGCAAAACTTATAAAAATACGAGAAACTATTCTAGTCATTGGTTCTATTTAAACAGCCTAGAACAGTATGAAGAAAAGGTGGGAGTTGAGTAGGAAAAATAAATCAGCCTTAAAGACCAAAAACCCCTCAAATCCAGGACCTGTAAAGCTTCAAATCTTCATTGAAATGGTGCCAGAATGGTGTATCAGTCTGAAAACCAGAAAGGCTAATTGTTTATATATCCCACAGGGGACTGTGTGACCATCCAGGAGGGAAATGTCAAGGAGGTTAAGATTTACATGTTGGAAGCACCAGCATTCTAATTATTCCTGAGTTTCGACACCAGTCATTCAAGTAACAGTTGTAAGGAATTTTCTTTTGGAGTTTTCCTTTTCCCTTAGGTTCTCCCCTTTCTTTCAGGATGCAGGGAGCAAGAATCCCTAGGAAGATTGTAAAAACGTTTCATCAAGAAGTACTAAGGAGCAGAGATCTCTTCTTGTATCCCTTTTGATAATTCCCACAAATGAACTTTTGAAGATTCAGAAGCAAAGAGAAAAGACTCAAAATTCACACATTAAGAATGAGTATTGTGACCACTTTGGAAGTCACCGTCTCAAGTGCTGAAAAATTATCATCTATTAAAAGTTTTTTTTTTTTTTTTTTCTTTTTTGAGATGGAGTCTCACTCTGTCGCCCAGGTTGGAGTGCAAAGGCGCAGTCTTGGCTCACTGTGACCTCCTCCTGCCTCAGCCTCCCAAGTAGCTGGGATTGCAGGCACCTGCCACCATGCCTGGCTAATTTTTGTATTTTAAGTAGAGACGGGGTTTCACCGTATTGGCCAGGCTGGTCTCGAACTCCTGACCTCGTGATCCGCCCACCTCGGCCACCCAATGTGCTGCGATTACTGGCATGAGCCACACCACGCCCAGCCTAAAAGTATTTTTTAAAGACGGTAGATGAAAGCCATTGCTATTTGCCATTTAGAAGTTGTGTTTTCATCGAAGACTGTTGTCATAAACATTGATCTATTAATAGCACTGAGCCATCTCCATTCCATCATCCCTTTGGCTTGCTTCTGGCAAGTTGATAACTCCTTTCACATGACACACAGACTTTTCATTTATAAAAGGTTAGAAAAAGGATTTCCCATTTCTTACAGCTGGGTAGACTCAAAAAGCATCCTAACCCCTTTCTGGCCCCTCCTCTTCTTGTCGCTGCGCCCATTGATTGGCCTGATAGCCTGAAAATTGATTAGAGAGAAGTGATCTGTATAGACTTGGAAAACACCTAGTCCTGTGTGTGGCCTGAGCTCTGAAAAATTATATGTACTACAAACTAGAGCATTTCAGCTTTTTAAAACATGCGTTATTATGCCGGGGAAGCTGAAGACATTGAGTTCTTCTACAGAATGCATCTACCCTATTTTCAAGTTTTTAAGACTGAGATAGTTCTTTTACAGAGGTCCACATCCTTTCGAGGTTTGAAGGGAAATATTTTGATTTTAAACAACTTACAAACAAAACTTAATTCCTTGCTGTTTGCAATATGTCATGATACCTTGTATCTTTATTTAGAATGTGGTTATCGTAGGAAAATTTACTGTTGCCAGAAAACAGGCTGATGGATTCTGTAAATTTTGTATTGGTGATTTAGTTCGTTACAAAGAAAAATAATTTGTCTGATGTATTCACTGTTCTTTTTAATTATGAGGAAATTACAGTGCACTAATTTAATGTAGAATTTTTACTTTGTTTGCCACTCTCAAATTCAGTCCAGGAAGTGTATTGAATTTTCACCAAATGGCTGGCTCTGGGAGCTGTCACTGATTTAGGGGACCACACTTTCTATTTTGCTTGTAGGCTAAGATGTAAGAAGACGAGGTAATAAAAAGGAGAGTGAATATAATTGGCAAAAAGATGATTATGGCTCTTATAAGCACTTCAAGTGAGAGAGGTTAGAAGAGGAAGAGAGAAGTGAAAGCTTCAGTAAAGCTTTCAAAATTTGGGAAGCTTAAAGAATTTTTATCAATTAAGCATTCTTAGAAATCTGTACATCGCTCCCCTCCTCCGTCAGTAGAACAAAAGCTTTTCTCTGTTATGATGCTTTGCCTACTATAGTTTTTTAGTGTATGGAAATTAGAAAAATAAATAATTGGGTTTATCACTGTCATCTGTTTCTTTTTGAGGTCTAAATAAAATTTGAGATTACATCTGCTTTGCTTGTCACCCTCAAAACATTTTGTAAACAAAGAACTCCCAATTTGGGATTTGAGCATGTTCCTCTGAAAGCATCAGAAGTACTTGCTTTATTAGTTCAGTTGCAAATTTAAGGTTTATGGTAGGACACGTTCATGAGTGACTCCATAGAAGACCACCCCAGGACTCAGCGAGTACCCCTGCAGTCTGGAAAAAGCCTGGCAAACAATATGAACTTGAGCCGAGGGCGAAAACACACATGCCATTTCCCCAGATTCCTGGTTTCTAGTGCCTCTGCACTATGGTGTTTTTACTCTTATTTTAAAAATCCTATAACAGCATTTTTAAAAAATGAAGAAAATGGGAAGAAAAACATGGAAATTTTGAGTCCTCATTTAGAACCTCCCTATCTTCATTTTTGTCTTTTAACAGATGAGGTGGTAAAGAGAGACTGAAGTTGAGGATTTTTTTCATCTCAGCTTTTTTTCCCCCTACCTTGCTCTCCCTCATATATTCCTTGAACTATGTCATAGGTATTTCTTCATTACGAGCCCTTCACTGTGTGGCTTTTCAATGTCTAAAGTGGATTACGTGGTCCACAGTCAGTTCTGTGACTTGAGCTTCAAAAGTAAAATTGATGCCGGGCGCGGTGGCTCACGCCTGTAATCCCAGCACTGTGGGAGGCCGAGGCGGGTGGATCACAAGGTCAAGAGATCGAGACCATCCTGGTCAACAAGGTGAAACCCCGTCTCTACTAAAAATACAAAAAATTAGCCGGGCATGGTGGCGCGTGCCTGTAATCCCAGCTACTCGGGAGGCTGAGGCAGGAGAATTGCCTGAACCCAGGAGGCGGAGGTTGCAGTGAGCCGAGATCGCGCCATTGCACTCCAGCCTGGGTAACAAGAGCAAAACTCCATCTCAAAAAAAAACAAAAACAAACAAACAAAAAACAAAAGTAAAATTGCCATCAACAATGTGATTCAACTTTATGTTCTATAGTAGCTAAAAGCAAGGAACTATATTATATTGTTAGCAATCTTGGCTTCACTATACTTTAAGGTAGGTGATGATAATGCTCATTAGTTCATCTGAAAGAGTCCTTCCAGGATTTTGTAAGCTTTATTGCTGCTTATTACCTTGCCCATAAGAAGTCCTTCATGGACTGTATTTGCTCCAGATGTACGAGACAAGTTTATGGCAATAAGTGGAAACACCAGATTGACTTCTTTTCCCCATATCCTAGTTGAAAGGGACGGCTGTGTGAATGTTAGATTCTCCAAAAGTGTTTGTAGAACCTCATTAAAAAAAAATCAACTGTATTGTACCTTTTCTTTAAAAAAAAAAAAAAAAAAAAAAAAAAGGATCTTCAAATCTTTATTAAAAATACTAAATGGACAGCTGGGCCTGCTGGCTCATGCCTGTAATCCCAGCACTTTGGAGGCCGAGGCGGGTGGATCACCTGAGGTTGGGAGTTCGAGACCAGCCTGACCAACATGGAGAAACCCTATCTCTACTAAAAATATAAAAACTTAGCCGGGCGTGATGGCACATGCTACTTGGGAGGCTGAGGCAGGAGAATTGCTTGAACCCGGGAGGCGGAGGTTGCAGTGAGCCAAGATCGCGCCATTTCACTCCAGCCTGGGGGACAAGAGTGAAACTCTGTCTCAAAAAATAAAAAAAAAGTGGAAATGTGTGAAGCCAAAACATCACTTGACCTCTTCTCATTCATTGGGTAATAATAATGTGTAAAATAATTGCTTTATTTACATCGTTATTGACCATGGCTGAACTTCATGCCAGTAGGGATGTTGTGATCCTGTTCATCTCTGTGCCACTTGGTGGGATGCCTGGCACTTGGCCAGTTGGTAAATACTGGAGGAATGATTAATACGTGAATCGTGGATCAGTTCTCAGGAATATGATAATAGAAACAACGATGATATTTTGTAAAAATTGAAGATATCAGTTACTTCTACACCTTTCTTTCTTTTCTTTTCTTTTTTTGAGACGGAGTTTCGCTTTTGTTGCCCAGGCTGGAGTACAGTGGCGCGATGATCTCTGCTCACTGCAACCTCCGCCTCCCGGGTTCAAGCGATTCTCCTGCCTCAGCCTCCTAAGTAGCTGAGATTATAGGCATGCACCACCACGCCTAGCTAATTTTGCATTTTTAGTAGAGATGGAGTTTATCCATGTTGGTCAGGTTGGTCTCAAACTCCCAACCTCAGGTGATCCGCCCACGTTGGTCTCCCAAAGTGCTAGGATTACAGGCATGAGCCACCGCACCCGGCCTTACTTCTACAACTTCTAAGCCAACTTCAATGAAGTGTAGCCTAAAAACATACTGCAGATGTGTTTGAGTAACCTCTTTATTTATATTGCCTTTTTTGAGACGGGATTCTCACTTTGTTGCCCAGACTAAAGTGAAGTTGCACCATCTCAGCTTATGAGGTGTTTCTCCCACCTCATCCTCCCGAGTAGCTGGGACTATACGTGTGTGCTAGTACACTCAGCTAATTTTTGTAATTTTCTAGAGAGAAGATTTTGCCGTGTTGCCTAGTCTGGTCTCAAACGGCTGAACTCAAGCGATGTGCCCACCTTGGCCTCCCAAAGTTCTGAGATTATAGGTATGAGCCACGGCTCGGCCTGTATTGTTGCTAACTGAAATTGAACCCTAGGAATATACATTGAGGTATAATTAAAATTCCATTTCTATTTTTAAGCAAAGTGTTATAGACATTACTGTTACCAAAGTTTCCCCTTGCCTTTTCATATTTAGAGTAGTGAAACTGAAGTTTAATGGAAAAGTTTCAGGCCTGTGAACTATACACTGAGCACACACCCAGCACATGTCACATGACCTTCCAGTCTTTGTTTTGGTTTCTGTACGTTCAGTGCCCTGCCCTCTCCTTAAAGTGTGAAACTCTCAATCGGACATCTTCCTGCACGGCTCCCCGGGTATCTTATATTCCTTGCAATATTTTAGACTGTGTGTACTATTTTGTACTCAATCATGTAATTTTATTTTGTTCACTGTGGTTTTACCCTGGCTTGGATGTTTTCCTCACTATGGGAAGAAGAACCCTAAGAATGAATTATCTCACTGGGAAGGGAAGCATTTAAAATTTATTTAATGTATTTTTATAACTGGGGAACTCTAAGTATTTTTCTTAGCCTTAATTGCTCCCAAGAAATGAACTTGCCTAAACTTAGTAAATTTTTGTCATAATAATAGGATATTGACAAGTGTTTTTAATTTATAAAAATAGAAGTTGCTTTCTACTAGGGTGCTATTGTAGGAGGAAAATTTGTAAAAATGTTCAGTCATAGTATTGTCATGTTAATTGTATTTTCAAGATGTGCTAAAAATGATTTCCCACTTAGTGCAAATTAGCGAGAGGCCACTTTATCCCACCTCCAGCCCACTGCTGGCATCCTCTCTGCAATATGCTTCCCAGGTAATTACCTGCTTTCCATTCAAAATTTTCTATAACAAGGCACTCTTACCTCCACAGGTGATCACCATGGCAACGAGGTAGTCTGTTCTATTTTTGGAGTATGAAAGTAGTGCCTTCTTAAATCTAATATAAAAATGAGAGTTCCAGGAAACCAGGGCTTTAAACAAATTTGATTTACGTGAATTTTTTTTTTTTTTTTTTTTTAAATCACACTTTGGGAGGCTGAGGCAGAAAGATCACTTGAGCCCAGGAGGTTTACACCAGCCTGGGCAACATGGTGTGAGACTCTGTCTATACAAAAAGTATAAAAATTAGCCAGGCATGGTGGCGTACACCTCTGGTCCCTGTCACTCAAGAGGATTGCCCGAGCCTGGGAGGTCAAGGCTGCAGTGAGCTATGATTGAGCCACTGCACAACAGCCTGGGTCATTCAGAGTCAGTCATGTTTTTAATATATATTTCAGACTAGGATCTGTCAGGGAGCTAGTTTAATTGTGATCTTTTATTATTTTAAAAAACCAGCAAGAGCGGAAATTCAATTCTGTTTTTTTTTTTTTTTTTTTTTTGAGATAGAGTCTTGCTCTGTTGCCAGGCTGGAGTGTGGTAGTGTGATCTCGGCTTACTGCAATCTCCGCCTCTCGGGTTTAAGTGATTCCCCTGCCTCAGCCTCCCGAGTAGCTGGGTCTACAGGCGCACAGCACCCCACCCGGCTGATTTTTTGTATTTTAGTAGAGACCAGGTTTCACCATGTGGGCCAGGATGGTCTCGATCTCTTGATCTCATGATCCGCCCACCTCGGCCTCCCAAAGTGCTGGGATTACAGGCTTGAGCCACTGCACCCAGCCTAGGAATTGGAATAATAATCCAGGCGGCCTGCTTTCAGATCCTCCACTCTAATCCATGTCTCTATCTTGCTGGAGCCTTGCTAGAATGCTTCCTCCCTTGGGAGTTCAGCAGACTAGGAGCACCTGACCCTTTATAGGTGCTTTATACGATGGTAGCCCTATGCAAATATGACTGGTAGGGGTTGGGAATGGAATGAAGGGTGATGAGCATGATGCTTTGGGAGTGGTAGCAAGTTAGAAGCACCTTGGAATTCAGACAGCAGCGCGTCCTGTCACCGATGTTTAAAATTATACAGTTTGAAATATAATGTTTTTAATAAAGGTTGCAGATGGCTCAACAGCTATGGGAGTTGTCAGAAGGTGAGGTAGAAATGCTTTTAGTGTTCTTCCAAATGGTAGGAATCTGGCCGCAGTGTCTATTTCACACAGCATTTGGGTCATGAGACTGTCTTCATTCTGCAGTCAATTTTCAAATTTTGCCCTTGTAAATATTAAAAGGCTTAAAAGCTAATTAAACCATAATGGTTAAGTTTATTTTATTGTGACACCTTGTAGGGAGGGGTTTATGATTAAGTATTCAAAAATTTGCCTTGGTTTGCTGACCAATTGTGTCTTTTGTTCAATGATAAAATATTTTAAAAAGAACTTGAAATTATCTTCATGTATAATCTTATTTCACTTCTGCCATCATATAACTTTATAAGTAGATATGATCGTAGAATATAGCCAACCCTTCTTATGTTCCAGATGAAGAGACTAAGGCTCAGAGAAGCCATGTAATTTGCCTAGGGTTGCACAGCACACAGCTAATGATGAATAGAGCCTGGGTTTTTTGCCCCATCACGCTGAGTTTTTGCGCACGTGCTCATGATTTTTAATTCGTGTTAACATATTGGCATATATTCAAAGAAGTGGAAGTGTCCTTGAATAACGTAACACGTATTAAACATTTGCTTCGTGCTGGGCAAATTTTACTCTTTGAAGTACCACGAGAACTGATAGTCTTGTCATTATCATTAATTTCATTCTCCTCCTCCTCATTCTCCATTCCGGAGACAGGAGGGCCTGAATTGCTCAGAGGTTAAGCAGATTCTTGAGTGGGGGATCTGGGGTTCAGATTCATTGCTGTTGTTTTTAAGAGGGGAGATCTCACTCTGTCACCCAGGCTGGAGTGCAGTGGTGTGATGATGGCTTACTGCAGCCTCAACCTCCTGGGCTCAAGCAGTCCTCCAGCTCTAGCCTCCTGAGTAGCTGGGACTACAGGTGCCTGCCACCATGCCTGGCTAATATTTAAGTTTTTTGTAGAGATGGGTGTCTCACTGTGTTGCCTGGGATGGTCTTGAACTACTGGGCTCAAGTGATTCTCTCCCCTTGGCCTCCCAAAGTGCTGAGATTACATGCTTTAGCCACCATGCCTAGCCTCGAATTCTTGTGTCAGGTACCGTGTATTTTGCAGCAGCGAAAATGAGGTTTTGACTCTCCTACCAACCCTTGCTCAATTGACTATAAAGAATATAGAAGTAAGCTCTGGGCTTAGCGGGACAGGTGCAGTGTCTGGTGGTGTATGTCATGGCCCTGAAATGCGGTCGGGGTGGTGCTTTATGTGGCATATATGTTAGCAGGCCTACCATTTCTCTTAACGTAGCAATCTGACTCTCAGTTTCACAGGATAGGAAACTCAATTTTTTTTTTTTTCTTTTTTTTTTTTTGAGACGGAGTCTCGCTCTTGTTACCCAGGCTGGAGTGCAATGGCGCAATCTCGGCTCACCGCAACCTCCGCCTCCTGGGTTCAGGCAATTCTCCTGCCTCAGCCTCCTGAGTAGCTGGGATTACAGGCACGTGCCACCATGCCCAGCTAATTTTTTTTGTAGTTTTAGTAGAGACGGGGTTTCACCATGTTGGACCAGGATGGTGTCGATCTCTTGACCTCGTGATCCACCCGCCTCGGCCTCCCAAAGTGCTGGGATTACAGACTTGAGCCACCGCGCCCGGCCCAGGAAACTCAATTTTAAATTTATATGGGAAGATGGAAGAAGGGTTGGTTGGACAAGGCTTTGGAAAACTAATTCATGTTAACCAAATACACAGAAGACAGTTTTATGAGTACTGTACTAATACTAATTCAGTAATTTACCTTTTTGTTGTGGTTCACTCACATATGTTTATTCTATATGTCTTATTTTATAATATGTTGACTGTTAGGATCTCTAATTACAGGGCCTGAATTTTTTTTTTTTTAATCTCGTCTTGTTGAAGATTCCTGGATGAAGAGCCTGTAGCCTCCAGTAGACTGACTGGTAAAAAGGCTTTACTTGCAGAAGCTCTCAGTTGACTGTAACAAATGCAGTTTATTTTATTCTGGAAATAACAAAAGCAACCAGTTTGAGTTTTTGTCAAAACTCAAACTCAGTTATATGAAAGAATTTATTATCTGTAGAGTTTTAGTATCAAGAATGCAGCTAATTTGCAAATTAGTGATTGTCTTAAATGTCTGCTTATGAGTGTTTCTTAATTGCATATTTTTGTTCTTTTATCCTGTCTCTCCAAATCTGTCATGTTGTGTGACTGTGTTCAGTATTCCTCCCCTCCCCTCCCCTCCCCTCCCCTCCCCCCCTTCCTTCCTTCCTCCCTTCCTTCCTTCCATCCATCCATCCATCCATCCATCCACCCATCCATCATTTTTTCAAGATATTTGGGTTGCTAGTCTCAAGTATAATAAGGGATATTGCAAAATATTCAGATGCATTAGATGGACCATATGACACAAATTTTAGTAGACCAGTTATTTTGAATGACTTTTTGTTTTGACTCGTAGCTCCTAATTTGTGGTTGATTTGTAATCTTATGCTTGGGGTTAAGGGGCCTGCTCTGCGTGCCCTACAGCATTTTGATGGCTGCCTGGCGGCACCTCTGCCATCCTCGCCACTGCTGGACTTTGTCTAGGACGTGGGAAGCCTGGGTCTGTCTGGATTTGCCTGGCCTGATGTCCTTTCTCCTCCTTTTGCCTGTACTCCATGTTGGAAGGGAAGATGTTTTTGATGTCTAGAAATGTGCCCTTGTGAGGAAACTATGCCACAGACTACACTAGTTCCCCAAAAGGAAGACCCACAATGCTTTTCAAAAATAGCATCCTCTTTCTAATAAATAAAGTATTCACACTGAAGGGTGAATGGAGAAAAGGAGTAAGATTTTGGATGAATAAGAGTTGTGGGTGAGCAGGCCAAATGTTAAAAATTGTCTTATTGGTTATACTGTTGTAGAGCAGTGTTGATGGATGCATTTGTTCAGTCAGGAGCCCTTATGGTGGTTCTGTTGTTTGATACTGTAATAGATATTTTGAGAGCTACAAACATGTAAGTGTGTGATTCTTGTCTTTTATGACCTTACCTGTCAAGCGAAATGACACAGAGAGAGGTGTGATAATATACAAGTCTGAGTGAGACTATCTGTCACTATTATAGATAATGGTCACATGTAACAGTCCTGTGGTTCTTCTGGAATAGTCATTCATTGGGCAGGATGAGACTGAGAAGCTTCTACCATGAAAGCATAGCATGTGTAGAAAACATCTGTTTTTATCAGTTATGCTTAATTTTAGCTGTAATGGAACTGACCAGGGTCTTAAGTACTCCAAAATTGAATAGCTCATGCAATCCTTGATTGCAGTTATAAGTATTTTTTTCCCAGTAAACATGCAATGTCTGCTGTAAATTTTGGAAAGTGGTATTCAAACAAATTCTGAACTTCTTTCTTTTTACATGTGGAACGCTTAGGAGCCCCTGTAATATGTGAGCAAATAGTTATATAAAAATTTGACTTCAAGAGCACATTATCATTTTCTTTCTTAGATGTTTTTAACGAATTGGAAATTGTGTGTTTGTATGTTTTGGTTATTTGCCATTTAAATGGAATTTAAAATCCTTCATACACCCTTCAGAGTTTTTGTTTTCTTTATCTGGATTCAACCTTACTGCTTCTATAGAGTTGCATTTTCTCATCAAAAGTATATATGGTACTGCCAAATGGGTTGGTGGAAATACTCTATTGAAAAGAATATAACTATGACGTAGATCATATGCCTAGCTTCACATTAAGGAAAGGGTATTGAATATTTGAAGAACTTGACATTATGTTTATAAATATCTACTCATCTAATCTAGTACTAAAGAGTCATATAAGTACTTAATTTCATAGGTGAATCACAAGTGGCATTGAAAATGTATTTTTCATGTTACCTGGGGCCTATAGATTTAATGAGTTTAAGTTATTCCTTTGGCCTCAGCTCTGGTGCGTAACCTAATTCTAACACCGTGGTGAATGGTTACTGTGACTACCCTGTTGCCAAGAAACCTGTTATGTTATCAAGTTGCCTTGGTGAAGTAATGGCTTCCTAGGACTCCTTTGCACTGCTGGGAGGCTGTTAATCAGAGCTATGGAGGACCTTACACAATCAGTTTCCCAGGTTATAGCTAGTTTTTCTTTAGGAAGAGAAATAAACCTTAGTCTGTAAAAACTGAAGCAAAACAAAGTCTAAATTATCTTAAATTAAACCAAGACCTTTAGTTACTAAGAAAAAAAATTGTGATCCCGAGATACAAACCTATTTTTACTAGTATTTTTACTAGTTACAAGGGTCTGTGTATCGAATGGTAGAACCCCCACTCCCCACCCCTCTTAACTTAGCATTCCGTTTTTGTTTGCTTAGAGTGATTCTTGGCCAGGCATTTACAAGGTACAGAAGAGTATTTGAACTGAGATCCCGAGGGAAAACACTGTGTGAAATCATTTTAGTCATTTGATATCAATTGCTCTTGCTATGAAACGATTCAACATTTTATTTTAAACAAATGGTACACTATGTAGCATTTTAAAATAGGCACCACACTTGGTACTCGGTCAAGAATTCTGTTCAAGGCAGGAACCTGGCTTTCACAAGCTTTGCGCCACGACAAAAGGTTTCACGTTCTTAAAGCTCCACAATACACGTTAAGAATCTGAGAAGTTTTATTGAGAGGTGGAATGCAGAAGGGGCCATTCCCATTTGTCACCATTCTCCTTTATAGCAGCACAGGTTAAGTCACAAGCCACCCTGAGGAATAGGATGAACCATTCAGTTACACAAGAGAGGGCACAGTTAAGAACCTCGGCTTTGGAATTCCAATCAGGCTGACTGGACCCAATTTTGGGTCTGCTGCCTCAAACCTGGTGACCTTAAATCAGTTACGTCATGACCCTAATCCTCAATTTCCTCAACAGTAAATGAGAGATAGCGCTTTTGATTTCTAAGAGTTGTGTGGATTAAATTAGATTATATGAAATGTTTAGCATAATTTCTGACACTTCATGTGAGCCTTTGTAAATGTACAATGTTAGTTATTATGGAGGAAATTTTTGGTCAGCTGTGAGTTGTTTCTTTAAACCTGAAAGATTTAGGTACTTGTCATTTGACAAAGCCACCCACGCTAATGCTTTTAGTTGCTGGGAAGGTTTTTTTCAGATTTTTAAATTTAACTTTAATTGTAAAAAAAATTTTTTTAGACACAGTGTCTTGCTCTGTTGCCCAGGATGGAATTCAATGGTGTAATCATTGTTCATTGCAGCTTCTAACTTATAGGTTGGAGTGGTCTTCCCGCCTCAGCCTCTCAAGTACCTGAGACTACAGGTGTCTACCACCACGCTTAGCTAATTTTCTTTTTTGTAGGGATGGGGTCTTGCTCTGTTGCCTAGGCTGATCTCAGACCCTTGGCCTCAAGGATCGTTCTGCCCTGTCCTACCCAAGAACTGATATTAAGAGTCTTCTGACCTTTAATTTTTTTAAATTTATTTCCATATGTCTTTTTCCTTGAGTTTAGAGTTGGGCATTCTAAGTTTTAGCCCTAATTCTTGGTCTTTCTCAGACATCAGTTTTCTCATCTGTAAAATGGCAGTGGGAGTTGGCTGACATTTCAGGTCACATTCATGATCTGAGCTCTGGGAGAGCTTGGTGAAAGATTCCCTTCAGATTCCACCCTGAACAGGAAAGGAAAGATCTAGTGGTTAAGGACAGCCCTCAAAGTCTTGTAATGTCAGGATGAGCCACACAAATGATAGTACCTCACATTTCTCTTTTTCTCATCCTAAGAAGGCAGCTGGAGCTCTCAGAATAAGTGACTGAATGAATGGACAGTCTGCGTGTGGGTTAAATATATGCTTTTAGTTATTACTTTCCTCTTTTTTAAAGAAAAATTCTTGGCTGGGTGCATTGGCTCATGCCTGTAATCCCAGCACTTTGGAAGGCTGAGGTGGGCAGCTAATGAGGTTAGGAGTTCGAGACCAGCCTGGGCAACATAGCGAAACCCCGTCTCCACTAAAAATACAAAAATTAGCTGGGCATGGTGGTGTGCGCCTGAAGTCCCAGCTGCTCGGGAGGCTGAGGCAGGAGAATCACGTGGACCCTGGAGGTGGAGGTTGCAGTGAGCCCAGATGGCACCACGGTACTCCAGCCTGGGTGGCAGAGCAAGACTCTCTCAAAATAAAATAAAAAAGAAAGAATAGTTATTTAAAATGTTGGAAACAGCCTCAAAACTGTAGAATTGTTACAAATACAGTGCAAAATACTCGACAGCACTTCTTAGCTAACCCCAGCTTGTTTTAGAGACGTAACTTGAGTAGTATAGAAAACAAACAGCTGGAGAGTAAATTGGTCTCTTGATGCCCATCAGCCCTGGATATTTGTTGTATTTCCTTACAAGCAAGGATGTCCATCTGCATAACTACAGTACGGTCGTCAACATTAGGACACTCACAGTGACGTCTCCATTTCTGCTGTTAAATCCTCAGACGCCATTTAAGTTTCCGCGGTGAGCCCCATAAAATCCTTTACAGCAGAAGGATTCAGTTCAGAATCCTGTGTGAGCTTTGGTTGGTGTGTCTTTTTAATTCCTTTATCGATATTTTCCAGAATTCTGTGACCGTGATACTTATGACAATTACAGGCCAGCTGTTTTGTAGAATGGCCTTCTATTTGAATTTTGTTGATATATCCTCATGATTAGATCCAGGTTTATTCGTCTTCAGCAGGAACATCACAGAAGTGATGCTGTGCTCTCGCTGCATTCTTTCAGGTGGTCACAATTTTGATACGCCTCATTGCTGGTGATGATGTCTTTGATCATTGAGTAAGGTGGAATCTACCAGTCTTCTCCATTGTAGAAGTCCTTATTTCTCATTGTAGTAAATATTTTGTAAGGTGGTAGCTCACAGTGATATAAATATTCCTTTCTCATCAAATTGTTGATTTATTCATTATTCGTAATAGTATGACTCATGGTTTGTTATCGTTCAATGGGTTATAATCCATTACTATTATTATGTATTTTGATGCTCAAATAAAATTCCTTTAAACCATCTTATGTGTCCTTTTAACATGTTCTTTTCATTCTTTCATTGCTTCTTTTGTTGTTCAAAGAGATGTTCCACATTCATCTTTCACTTTTGTTGCCCCAGTCCTGAATGAACCATTTCCCTGAGAAATCCTGGCTGCTTTTAGTAGAGAATGGTATTTAGAAGCCAAGATCTAGGGGGTACATGTGCTTGTTAGTATTGCTGTTGTGCCTCTGCAAAACTCTTAGTGGAGAGAGCTGGAGAATACTTGGATGCATATATGTGTATATTGGGACACTCACATAGGTAATACACGTGCATAAAAACACATTTATTTCTACATCTTACTATGAAGGTTGATATCAGGGAGTTTACACTGATACCTCCAATTCTGATCCAATACTCAGGGGTTTGTTCTAATTCTTTCTATATTTGTAAAGCTTCTATCATTTCTATGACAGAAATCTGACACGTGTCTACCTCCTCTCAGTGCATCTCTCCCTCACAGCGAAGGCTCTGATACCTGATGTCAGATTGCCGCCATGGGTAATGTCTTCACCCTGTTTTCCGCATTCCATGACAGGCCACCCTTTCATGTGGATACTCCATGTTGGGTTGCTCCGACATCTAGACATCTTCCTTATCCCACTCCTGACTCCCCATGTCAAGCTGACCCTCTAAACCTAGGAATCTACCTTGGAGGGAGGGAATAGGAACAGTAAGAAGAAGAAGAGCTCTTTTCTATTTCCTTGATAAGGTCTCATTCTGTCACCCAAGCTGGAGTGCAGTGGAGTGATCATGGCTCTCTGTAGCCTTGGACTCTTGGACTCCTGGGCTCGACGTGATTCTCTTGCCTCAGCCTCCCGACGAGCTAGAACTGCAGGTACGCACCACCGTGCCTGGGTGATACTTAAATTTTTTTGTAGATACAGGTTCTCATTTTGTTGCCCAGGCTGATCTTAAATTCCTGGACTCAAGTAATCCTTCCGCCTCAGCCTTCCAAAGTGCTGGGATTATAGGTGTGAGCCACCATGCTTGGTCCATTTTCATTTTTAATATTCCAAGTGAAGCTGTTTGGAATATTTTATTTTTGAAAACACTATTGTACTTATTAAGGAAAATGTTACGTATACAGTTAAATACCTTCTTAATGTCATCAACAGATTCTTGGAAACTACTATTTTAAGCAAAATGATGCGTAAGGAAACTAATTTTACCATAGGCTAATGGATATAAATAGAATTAAGTTCCTGTGGCATATTTTAGGCCACAGAAACATCACCAAACTTCTAAACAAAGACCCAAAATACTTCTAATGTAAACATGGAAATGAATGTCAGCTATACATACATTTAAGAAAGATTGATCAAAACAAGGAAGATAATTACCCAGTCAGTGAATGACAGCTGTCATGGTGGTAGTGGGTTAAATTAAAGAATAAATGTTTACAAAGGGAATTGTAAGGAGCACCTCCTTCCACCACACAGTTTACAAACAAGCAATAAATATGGTGGACACTCTGAGCGCTTTTGTGCTTCATGCAGTTGTATGGTCACCATATACCTTACA